TTATTATTATTTCTACTAAGTATTATGACATTCTTTTTCTTTATTTTTATGCGTCTGGGGGCAAACTAGCTGTTATTGTCTCTAGTAGAATGACCAGCGCTGTGGAACATTCTGATCCTCAGCATGATGCTGAGCCAGGGCCAATTACAACCACAGCACACACCCCTTACACACTTGAAATAAACCGAATGGGAAAAGGGATTTTTTTTTCATTTTTTTATCTCTCATTATATATTTTATTTAACTTTTTAATTGATTATTGTTATTTTGTGTGTTTATGTGTGTGTATTTTTGTTGCTAATAAATGATATGTCTATGTCTAGTTAAGACCGGCTTCCCTAGACTGCACTACCACCAACCTTGCACGGTCAGTAATTAGTGTTAACTAAAAAGTTTTGGAATTCAGATTTACAAAGTTGATCATCCCAGCTCCTTTGAAAGTTGATACTAGAAGGCAAATTCAAGCCTGGGTTGGATACTAACCTTGCATATCTCGCATCTATTTATTTATTTATTTGGGAAACAAAATAGATACATCTATATAAAATAAAAAAAAGTTTAAAAGTAAAACATAAAACACATTGGATGTATCCCCAAAAAGTTTCACTAATAAAAAATATTATAAAATTTATAAATCCGGACATCGACAAATATACTGGTAGCTATAATACAGGAGAAAGATACAAGGATTAGGATATTAACAGTTGTTTTAAATTTTTCTTAAATGAAGCAGTTAAATACGCAATCTCGTTTGTAGAAATCTAAGGAATTTACCTACCAGTTATATTGTGTACAGCAGTTCCTAGACTATTCCACTATGGCGACAAAGTGCCCGTTGCGGCACAAATGACACTTAAGTTTTATTCTAGAAACTTATAAAGGCATCATACTTCACAAAATTTACATCATCATATTTTTAGCAAAGATTTATGGAAATTCTCTCGTACGGTGGAACATATTGGTGACCCTGTCTTTGACCTATATTAAGGTCATCCTTGTCCTTGTATATATTGTAATCAATGGCGCTACAACCTTTTTAGGTCTGGGCCTCAGATTTCGGTATCTGTTTCATGATCATTTGGTAATCTAATAGGCAAGCCTTCTGTGCCTGACGCACGCCGTTGACTTTTTGGGTCTAAGACATGTCGGTTTCCTCACGATGTTTTCCTTCACCATTCGAGCGAATGTTAAATGCGCACATAGAAAGAAAGTCCATTTGTGCACCGCCGAGGATCGAACCTACGACCTCAAGGATGAAAGTCACACGTTGAAGCCACTAGGCCAACACTGCTCACAATATATTATATACAACATAATAAATGGCTCTAATACTCGTATAAGAGGCTTTTCTCCTACTTTGATTGTGTTTTATTTGGAGTAGAGACTTTTGCCGCCGTACGGTTCAAGTGCAGAGCTAATTAAAGATTTAAGTTGGTCTGGTAGTACCGGTGACCCCAGAGCTGGTGCTTTTCCTCGCTTAACGAATAAGTATCGCTATACAGCGAGGAAATGCTGCCAGCGTTAAAGGTGCAACAGGGACCAAACTTTTTAAGTTAGTCTTAATTTTATAATTATATTTTTTTAATTATTATTAGTGTAAGTTAAGAATATTGTATATACTGTAAAAAATGTTTATTATGGAATATAAAATACAGGAATCACTTATTCCACGTCATTAAATTTGTATCGGTAGACATCTTTCATCTGCAAAGAAGACAGAGGGTGTAGGCCGAAAGAAAAAGCCGGCGTAAAAAACTCTCGGTTCTCTTTAAACCAGAAGCAGGGAGATACGGTCCGCTCTTTTTTTGTCCGCTTCTTTGTGTATTAATGAAATCAAATACAATTTGCTTTTATATATATGTATATTTAAGTATTTGCCTCTTTCTTAATACAATTCAAACTCTTATGACGATAGAGGCAGATATGCTACGATACTATATGATAGATAGATTTTAGATATTTCAAGTGGTCTAAATTCTTTAGTCTTTGATGTGCAGGGACACACTCAGAGGGGACGAATATCCGACACAAACGGGACACGGGATCGCGCGCATGGCCGCATTGACCGAGGCTAAGCTGCAACCCTCAACTTTCTATACGGCTATTAAAACTAATCTAGAACTGTAAGCATTGAGCCATTGGTTAAGTCCGAAGAGGCGTGACCCAAATTTGAGTCTGTCTGTTCATTGTGAACTTTTAATGAGTGTTTTGATGGTCCTACAGTTAAGTGATAAGTGCGAAATTATGCTTCAGCTGTGGTTTTAATTATACAAGTGTTGCCAGTTATTCAACGGTGCTTCTTCTTCTCAATAGTCGTACGGTCAAGCTAGGAAAGCGAAATAAAAAATTGTAACCATAATAAATAAATTATAATTTATATATAGATATACAAATATAGATATAAACCTATAAGTATGACGCAGTGACATGAACTTTACTTTACTTATTCTATATAAACAGTTTGTTCTGTTAAGAAGTTTTCTTTTTTTTCACAAAAAGTATTGTCCAAATCATTAAATTTTTTTATATTAATATAGGTACTAGGTACTTTAACGGTATGTCAATAAAACTGTTAGTATTATTGAACTATTTTGTTTATACAGTTAATTATAATTAAGAATATTACTTAACAAATACAAGAAATATTGGGGAATGGAATTCAGATTAAAAAGATTTGTATAAATACAAGGTTAAAATTGAAGTTTTTATCTCATAATATTATTGGTGTGTGTGTAAAATGTGTGAAGTCATATTTTCTTGTATATTTTAAGAATACATGTTGTTTGAGGACGTATCAATAAATAAATACTGTGTATGGAAGATGGAAGAGGGCAAGATGTTCCACTCCTTTGCTGTTTTTGTAAAAACGACGAAGGCACCTGGGGATGTCGACAACGAAGGGGTGAAAATCCAGCGTGTATTTGTTACAAATTAATGTCAAAGCAAACACTTAGGAATTATTACACTGCGACCAAGGCAAAAAAAATGTTTATTTTTAATAAATGTAGTATTATGTTAGTAAATTTGGTAAGTATACAGGTAAGCCAAGTATAGTATTATTATATGTTTTTGATTTCTTGTAACATCTCAAAAAGGTATTTCATAACAACATTTAACCAACCGGAAACTATTATTGCTTAATCGATCACCGTCAAGCTACCGAAAATAGTTATTTTACCTCCTATATCATATTTTAACTAGTTACATTCCAAATTAACCAAAATATATTTTAACATAAATTTTCTCTCCCTATAAACTGTATATTCGTAAAACTTTTTATAATAAAAATCAAATGAAATACTAATAAAATTTCATTTAATTTTTATGAATATATGAATTTTAAAAATGGCCCTATCATTCCTAAAATTAACTAATCTATGATATTTCGTAAGTCTTAGATCTCTCTCTCTCTCTCTCTTCAGTCGGTAGCTCAGGCTTGAGCGTCGTGGTCATCAACATCAGGAGCAGACTATCTGTTTCCACTGGTTACTGGTTACTGTCTTTCTTATAACAGTATATAGTTTTGAGGACGATGAGTCTTTCACTTGATCTTGTTAATCAACTTAGATAAGAGATAATTTAACTAACTGTAATTGTTTACAAAAATTAATAAAACTTTACGGTAAGTATTTCAGTTGCTAAATTATTTTTAATACAATAAAAAACTAATGGACCGATTTCAAAAAATCTTTAACAATAAATTTACAACTATACACTACCCTCTCTTTCTTAAGTGATGTATTTTGTGTGTATATGTAACTAGGTCAAAGGCATTATAGCTCGCAACAAATTGTTTTGGCAGTTAAATTGAGCAAAGAATTAATTTTATGGCCAAACAAAATTTACTGAGAAAAATCTTGACTCTTGTTTCGGTGAAATTAATTTTCCGATTTTCTCTTCAGATTGCCTTTTGTTTTTTCTTTTAAGATTAGCTCGTATTGTAACGCTTTTAAGAAAATGTTTACGAAATAAATGATACGTTTTTATTGGTAAGGTAATCGAAAAGCATTTATATTTAAAATATAATACTATATCATCTCCATGGGTAATGATATAATATCAATAAAAATAATATGTTTCTCAAAATATTCAACAATCCTACTTATATTAGAAACGCGAAAGTTTGTAAGTATGGATAGATGTTTGTTAATCTTAAACGTAAAAACTACCGAATGGATTGTTATGAAACATTACAAGAATATAGCTTATACATCAGAATAACAAATAGGCTACAATTTATAAAGATATTGTGTGAATTGTCCAAAATATCAAGTAAGAAGGAAAAAATGCGAGCTATTCTGGCGTGCGCTGCCAAAACCGCTAGAGTTACACATATGTAATGTATGATGGAAATGTTTATCTTAAATAGTCACTATCTTAAGTAGTTTTTTAGACGCCATGCTAATATAAGCTACTCTAAATACTATTGCTGCGCAGACGTAGTTGCTGGCACCAGCTGTTGTTATAAATTGAAATCGCGTTAAAGACAATTTCATATTAAGCGAAACGGGGATATAAATCAAACAACTCAATATATTACATGTGATCGGTTTATTTTACATTATATGCTTTCAGTTAAAAGGAAAAGCTAACTGCTCAAGTGATTAGCTCTACACTATACAAAGAGACATGAAAATAAGACAAAGGGTCAGTCTTATATTTGGGAAAATTGTATAATACGAATAAACAATATTTACAAAAGTTGGGAAGACAATGCGAAGAAAGGAAAATCTAGTAAACAAATATCGAGACTAAATGCTTTCGAGTCAACATCCCAACGTACGAACAACAAGTTTGCTTACAGACTCATATGATACAGTATTGATAACAATCTTATAGTAATCTCACAGGATGTCTCACATCGCGCACACACTATATACAATTTAAATTATCCGTCAAAATTATCGATACAATAAAATTGGGAATTAGTCTAATTGACTTGTAAAATCATTGGTACCAGGTCACCTCAGATTCGAGGGGTCCAGTACCAGGGGCCTAGGCTAAAGGGAGACGAACTCGGGCGGCGGAGGCGGGAGGGTGAGCACTGGGGTCTCGGATGGTTCTTCGGCGGTCGCTCCGGGCAGTGACCAAGTCGAACTCCCGGTCGCTGTGACTCTGGGACCCATGTTATCGTAGGGAGCTCCACAACATGTTCTAGTTCGTCTCGGTAACGTTGCGCCACCGCTTAGTAAGTCTGGATACTTTACCGGTTCTCCTCTACCTGCGACTTGCACTGATATAAAAATATTCCCATACGGCACAGGTACTGCAAACTCTGCTGGAGGAGGGGGAAATGCACCGGGAGTGCCTTCTATAGTTATATGAACGGGATCAAAAGCGCAACCTCTAGGCTGTTCGTCCACGGATAAAGACCGTTCTGTCAACTCAAAGTTACAAGGAGATGCCATATCAGCGATGGAACGGTCACAACTGACAACCACAGACGCATCTATCAACCGTTTCTCTTGATCCATAAAACTTCTACTCGGTGGTACACTTCTTTTTCTCAAGTGCCAGCATCCGACTGCAGCTATAAAACCCAGGGCTGCTAATGCGCCTAATGCACCAAAGACTACGCCCAGTAATTGAGGAATGCCTGGTGCCGTTCGAGCAGTGGCAGTTTGGGACCTTGGCAAGACTAAACTAATCACGGCTCGGGATTCCCCTGCTACGCTCTTGGCCACACAAGTCCACTCCCCAGCAGCACTTGCGGTTACATTAAATAAAGTGATATTCACCCACCTAACACTACCGGGCACCCTTTCCTCTATATTGTCGTCTTCTAATATAGAATCAGTTTCTTCCATGTCGCAATCGACACTGCTATTATTTAAATCTACACCATCAAACAACCACGTTACTTTTGGCTTCGGTATACCGTGCACCCAACATCCAAACGTTGCCGCAACGCCAACTTCTGCCCTTATGACTAACGTACTTGATTTTACTTCAGGCGGACACGTCATTACTTCGCTAGATACGTGACGCCATTTGTTCCCAGACTGCGTGGACGGCTCCACGCAAACTAATTCTTCCGTACCTAATTTACTTTCTAAAAACCAATCTTTAAATTCTCTTAATCTACAGTCACACCTCCATGGATTTCCCGATAGAGACATAGTCTTCAGGGCTGGTAATGAAAAGGTTATCAATCTCAAGTAGGTCAGTTGATTTCTTCTCAAATCTATAGTTTCAAGTGATTTCAAATTCCGTAGCGCATTTGTGTGTATCGTTCTCAATCGGCATCCATCCAACAACAGCATGCGTAGATGCGGCAACGGTGGGAATTGATCGGCAAGTAATATCGTTAACGGATTATTACTGAGAACAACCAACCTCAATCTCTCGTTACCTCTAAAAATATCTCTGGGGAGTATGGCGAGATCGTTATCAGCCAGATCGACCTCAATAAGAATTCTTAATTGTAAAAACGCGTCCGCGTGTATGGAGCGAAGTTTGGTCGCACGTAAATTTAGTCGTTGTAAGTTGAGTAGGCCGATATTGAAGAATACTTCTTGGGGGAGATTTCTGAGTGGGTTGTCGTGGAGATCCAGCACTTGTATGTCGGAGGACAGTGTGGGCGGGCGGCGTAGGTCACCAGAGGCGCACGTGGCGGTTTTCTTGCCCGAGGACCACTTGCACCGACACGTGGTGATGTGAGCGCAGTCGAGCCAGTCGCTGGCAGTCCTCGCGGTGCACGTGGTGAAGATAACTATCCAACACCACCTGGCCCACGTCACGCGCATACTCATCTCATTGCGGATTTGAGTTTACATCGGCGGGATGCCTGTAACAACAAAGGAACCGTTAATCATTGGAGATTAGCCAAACAATGGAAGGGCGAATAATAGAATTGGAGGTTATGTATTGTGTAAACGGTAGATAATAGGCAGTATTGATTTTGATTGGAATAATATAAATGTGAAAAATGTTAATGAAAAAAAAATATTTTACTAAAATCTCTTGCGAAAAATTAACATTAAATAGAGAGATCGGGTTACATTTGGAGTCGAGATTTAGTGACGTATGTCCATTACGTAGATTTTGATATACAAAAATTTTACATTCGTATAAAATTTATATATTACACATTCATAGTAAATCCTAAAAATATAATACGTTCGCTCATAAAAGAGTTTAAATTATTTCCATATTATATCTTAATATATAAAACAAAATCGGGTACCACTTATAAATCAAGAATGGCTGGACCTATTTTCATAGCTTTTGATTTGTTGTATTTGTAGCAGAAGAAACATTGGAAAATTGGCAATAAAATCCAATATCAAATGTTCATCGGTTTCGTAACTGTCAAATATTTTATGTTCATCCCGTCGATACGGTAAATTCTTCCCTCAAATAAAAAACGTATTTAAACAATGGTTATCGGTAAGATGTATCCACAACATTCGAATAATGGCATTTTTTAGAGTTCAAAATGTAGAATTATATATTTATTTTGCATTCACTGTATGACTTCAATAAAATCAAATATTGAGTTCAGCTAATCTGTAACTCGACATTCATCATTTTAGGCGGTACGGAGCTTGCCGGATCAATTAGTTTTTAATGAAAAAGACCATGTTCGACTCGAGAGATTACAAAAAAGATTTCAGTGGCATCTGCTTTTCTCCAGTGACATCTCGAAAAAAAGTTGCTAACATTCTGTATACTGTAAGATGTTGTCATTGGAGAATCGTAGAAAATTAATTGATGTATCGTTTGCATTTAAGCTATTCAACAATCCGGTTGATTGCCCGAATCTTTTACCAAAATTTAAGATAGATACCTTACCCTACCCTAGATAGATACCCTAGGCATCCCATCATTCCATTTGTCCCTCCTTTGGTGTCCAGATTGAGCATTCTGATAAACGAACTAGGTCTAGATATCCATAGTTGCTCCTCTCGAACTTTAAAATCCATTTTTGTTATATTTTTTTGTAATTTTAATTGTTAAACATATGTATGATCTCTTCGTGTTTGTCATGTTTGCCTATAGGTGGTTGTCACATTAAAAAGTATATCGTGGTTCATTTACCAACGTATCAAAGTGCCGAGCGTTGGCAAGCTTTTATCAATAAAAAGTGTGAAATGAAACTTTTTTATGACCTTATTTTCCGAAAAATGATCTACTATATGCAACTTTACAGAAATTGGTTGAATAAAGTTAAATTAGATTAAGTTTTAACAAAAGGCTTTTATTATCATAGACATGAATGAATACAAATAATACAATTATTTTGTTTTACCTTTTTACTACTAAATTATTACAGAATTTCATTAATTGTAATAGAATTATTACTATCATTGTTATCGTTATTATATATGTAATGGAATGATATTTCATTAATTTGAATTTGACGCGTCGGAGTGACACGCGATAAAATGGCGGATGACGTGTAAATTAATTTAGTGGATTATAGTGTAAAAAGATAGATAAGTGGACATTAAATGTCGTTTTATAAAGGAATATTATTATGGATTTTTTCTAAATGAAAACACAAAATTGTTTCTCTGAAATACAAAGAAACGACATTTAATGTCCACTTATCTATCTTTTTACACTATAATCCACTAAATTAATTTACACGTCATCCGCCATTTTATCGCGTGTCACTCCGACGCGTCAAATTCAAATTAATGAAATATCATTCCATTACATATATTTTTGTTATTAATGGCTTCGAATCTTTTCGAATCTACCGTGGTAGGGACAAGAAAAAGATGCGCGTTACCGAAAAATGTGACGGTCAATTTTTTTCCAACGCCGATAAAGAAGTTTCACTTCAAAAAAAATGTTATACTCCCTACAATACGTTCAATTATCACCTTATAATACCAACAAATGCACTGAGCAACCTCTTGTTTTGATAAATGTTAGCTCCCCGGAGCTTTTCTGTCGAGATTAGAAGGATTAATGGTAGCGAGGGGGCATCTGTCTTGTCCGTTACGGCCTCTAGATACCGGCTATCGGAAGAATTCATTTGTAAACGACGTCTTGGTGGTTGGTTACGAATTATTTCGTGGGTCTATCGAAATTTGTTTTAACATTTCGAGTTGAGTATCTAATGATGCGCGATAATGCGTTAGTTAGATAACTACAGCGGTTTTCACAGCGGCGGTAGCACAAGCTCCCTCCTTATCAGAATGCCAAATCATAAATTAATGACTGCTTTAAGACTGATTTGAGTGCGACCGCCGCTGTGAAAACCGCTGTGTGAGTTACAAAATCGCAAGGCTGTTGCATTTATAAGCAGCCTTCTGTGCCTATCAAGCCGCTACGTACCTGTTACGTGTGACTATGTCACCGGAATATAACAAAAACCAAAAATTTTCGTTAGATTCTAAACGAGAGACAAATTGTATTATTTTACGCCCACGTGTTCGCAAATTGCGACGTCTCGTGGTAATTTTATAAACTAACGGATAACCATTCGTAAGTTAGTGATCTATTCAACTAAGAAGGAAAATCATAGACAAATGTTATAGATGCAAAAATCTAAACAACTTAACATCTTCCCGGCAAAGCACCATTTCTCAATGAGATTAAGATTAGCTCATAAAAAGTATTATTTTCTTGCTACTTATAATTAACCTACTATATACTATTTATTACTAATAACAACTAGGCCTCGTAGATATTATTCACAATACTTTATCCTCGTTTCTCTAGTATATTATCAGTACATCTATTTATCAGACACTAGGTTCATCTAAATAGCAGCAAACATTGTCACGATTATTGTTAATCAGTCTGCCAAATCGTAAAATGACTTCTTCACAAGTGAGACGTTGAAAAGTGAGTTGCAGAAGGCACACAGTACGCGAAGGTTTTAACTAAATCAGCGGTAAAAAGCAAGCAAGAATATTTGATTTCTCAATGCAAAATTCAGTTAAAAACTCGCAAATTGCACTTTCTTGAACACAACGGCGCTTTCACTGTAATATTCTCACCTGTGACAAAGAATTGTTGAAGTCGAGTGTTCGCAAAGCTTACTTAAGTTGTACATTAAATATTTTATATTTAAAAACAGTGCTATTTTGTATTCTATTAGAATATTTTTAATTCTCTGAGTATTTTATTTAAATGGATATTCCTTTGTTTTGTATTATAGGAACGTAAAAAAAACCCTTGTATTTATGGTTTTGGCCATAGATTTCTGTATGTATTTCTTTGTAGATAAGTACGCGATTAACCTTATCAGTCTGACAGATGCCGAAGTAGTTAATAGGCCGGTTTTCTCACGATGTTTACGAGCAATTATGTGTAATAGAAAAAAATCCTTTGGCGCAGTCAGACTTCGAACGCACGGCCACAGGGTTTTTGTAGTAAACAAATACAAAAATAAATCTTAATTTAATTGTCAGTTATGAATCGGTTAAAGTTACAATTATAAATAAAACCACAAAGTAACTCGCACCAACAAGTGACCGAACTTTGAAACTCCGACATAACAGGTGCGAAAACTGTCACAACAGAAGTTACGATACGAATTCCTCTTTGGGATTAGCTGTATATATAGATAGAGAGATATTATCTACCCTATGGGAGCTTGGACAATTTAAATATAAGTAGAAAAATGAACGTCTTACGCCCGAACCCAATAATCAATCCACAATCAGACCGTGACAGTCGATCGATCTCCTATCTGCATCCCAATAACCAATAACCAAACCCTACGAAGACATTCCATTTTTGGCGACGGATAAAATGCTCTTTGTCGTTCCATTTTACCGAGTTTTCATAATCAATGTAAACCAGTTAAATTAAATAAAATCGTACATATAACATTAAAATATACATGTGTATGTTTAAAACATAACAAACGGTTTTTTTAATTATTTAAAAAACTGGTGTAAGTTAAAATCTGTTAAAATAATTAACTGTTGAAATCGAGCTTTCGTCAACTGTAATTTTCATACAAAGGTCTATCCACAGACACCGATACGACCTCCCATGGATAGCATGTATCGACAGATGGCTATTACAATCCGTCGATTGCTTATTGGCACACTTGTTACAACAATTGGAATAAGATTACTATCTCAGATGGTGGATTATGGATTGAGATAGCTTATTGGGTTCGGGCGTTAGAGACACTCGCAGTAAACTCTATTGAATGACGCTATTACACTGCAAAAGAGAGGTTTTAAAGGCCGGCAAATACACTCGCGACTCTTTTATTAATATCAATAAAATAAACTTTATTCCTCTTCATAATTGCATAATACAGGTATAGGTTAACTGAGAGGCTGATACTTATAAAAGAACTATATTATAATAGTAATAAATATATAATTCCATACTATTAAAAATTACAATAAATGTGTATTAGTTTTGTTATTGTACTCTTAGTCTACGTAAGTATGTTCTCTATTGGGTAAAGGCATTCATCTGAATTTTCCATTTGGGTTTGTTCTTAGCTTCCTCCAAACATTTCTCGCCAGAACCTACACAATGTCGTCCGCTTTTCTGTTCTTCCCACATTGCTTTTCTCTAATCCAAAATGTATTTAAAAAAAAATATGTTTATTATGGAACATAAGATACATATTGTATCACTTATTCCACGTTATTAAATTTGAATTTGTAGGCATCCCTACTCATCGGCAAAGAAGACAAAGGGTGTAGGCCGAGAGAAAAAGCCGGCGTAAAAAACTCTCGGTACTCTTTTAAAATAGCAAATCATCAAACAACACTTATTTTAAAACAAATATCGCAAATTAATTAGAAGTAGCCTGTCTAGCACT